TAAATCTCAATTTCGAAAAATTGACCCTTATGACTGGTTTTGTGCGCCACGGTCACATACCAATACTAGCTCAAGTCAAATCAGTATGATTATGCAATCATGCTGTTGTAATGAATACTGGCACGGCTACTACATACTGTATAACATTTACAGTACAACTGTGCAATTGTGAAAATGATATTGGTTTTATAAAAACAAAAATGGTGCAGTGAACACAGATAAGCAAAGTGATACATAAAGTAACGGCTAAACTATTAAGCAGACAGGATAGTCTAATGACTGCTATTTGACACGTAGTTGCAAAATTACTTATAGTTAGTAGAATGTCTAAAATGCACAATCAAAAAAAGTTAATTGCTCTTGTGTTGTTATATGAAATATCAACCCTCTTGGAACACTACATATCCAATCAAATTAGAGCTTCACATACTGCACTACACCACACTACAGTAAAATTGAATCAGCTTATTTGGGTCCCTGGGACAGAAATAACATTTGTCATTTTAGTAATGTCTACATACCTTTTATCAAGTATGTATCCTTCCACTTTATGCAACTCTTTTCCAAATATTCCACACGGTTTGAAAGTCAAACAACATCTTTCCCCAGTTCTGTTAAAAAGCACAGTAAAGTAATTTATGGATTTTTCTCCGTCTTTCACAGTAGTTGTTCTTCTCCAAGCTTAATAAAGCAACAATGATCTAATCTACACCCTTGTTTATGTCAAATCAGAGGACGATACACTTGCTCTTACTTATGATTAATAATTTCAACATTTCCATATTGCTCAATCCACAGTTGTCCCATGATAATGTTATGAACACAGCAGGTCGGGTTGGTCCAGGTGTAGGCTTCATTGTGGCTGAAAAGCACAAGTCGATCACATAGCTGAATTTACATGTAAGATGTGGGACATGTGGAATAACACATGCATGTTTACTGGCTGTAAAGGACTCACAGAGGAAGCTCTAAGGTGATGATTCCACGCGGTTCGGCCTCCACACTCTTTCCCCAGAATTTCAGTTTCGGATAAATGGAGCCATGAAACCTGAAGTCGCTCTTTATGCCCTCGGCGTGGAAGGCACTGACCGGCGGATGATGACTGACCTGCTCAGAGACCCATCTGAACCCCAGATCCTCTCTGATGACTCAAAAACACTGATGGTTCATATGAAACATTGACGTGTTCGGCTCATAACCGATCAGTCGATGTAAAACACTGACCTGAGCAGCTCGTAGGTTTCTCCGAGCAGTGGGTTGAAGGGTTTTCCCGTCCTCTCCCACTGCGAGGCCACAGCTGACACAGCAAAAGCTGCCACACACTGACAAAGCAAAGAATTACCAACAGATTACAGTTTTTGGTTACACTTTACTAGAAGGGGTGTGCATAAGACTGACATGAC